TTTTTTTTTCATTTTATTTAATCCTTATTGTTTGTTCAATTATTAAACCTTCTGTCAAGATTCCGTTAGTTTAAGCTGGCAAGAGGGTGATGTGGCGCTGAATAACATCTAATCAAGCACGCACATTGCCGCGTCGATTTCGCACAGGCAAAAAATCCCTAAAATTCTTCCATGTCATCGTCTTCTTTGGTGTTTTCATCTGCTTAATGATTCAACTACCAAATGTGAGATCTAGATGGTGGCATCGTGGCGGCACCTCAACAGGGACTATGAGGATTTAGCATTTGTTATTATACGAGTTAGTTTGAAATTTTGTTACAGAGGTTTGCATTTTCATGGCTTATTAATTTCTGCATTTGCGAAGAGAAAAAAAGGCTTTAGAATTTCCATATTTGCAAAGGTGAAAACTTTCAGATTCTATTTTTTGATTTCTATTATTGGTAAATTTGTGGATTAAAAAAGTGTATTGGTGGTAATGCTTTTTTCGTGCTCGCAGACTTCGCAGCAAGCGATCATCATGGCGGTGGAATGCTCTAGAATTGCTAGCGTTGCTACAAAAGCGAGTTTGTGTGCCTTGATGGTCTTTGATCTCTCTTTCATGCTTATTTACAGTATATCTTGATCAAGTTGTTTTTGAAAATCTGAATCAATAATTTCAGACCTTGGGGCAAAGTTCATTATCCAAGTTGTGTTGTCGCACACAGCAACCACAAAGATAGAGTTAAAAGACTGGAGAAAATTCATCCCCATTTTCTGAGATCAAGGTTGTTGAACCGCCCCAACCCAACATTACCACAAAAATAGACAAAGTAATCTGATTAATGTAAGTCCTACAACGAGTCAACGAGGATGAGCCGCCTCTATCTCCCCCATCTGGTAATCAAATCATTCCCACTACCTGAAAACTAACAAAAATGCTGAAGAAGACAAAGGTGACGCGAAAGAATTAGGGATTTTTTTGCCAATGCAAGATCTATGTGAAATGTATGTGCCTGGTCAGACGTTACTCAATGCCACATCACACTCTTATCAGCTTAAGCTAATGAAATCTGACAGAAGGACTGGCACCAGTAATTGAGTGAACAATAAGGATTGACTAAAAAGAAAAACAAATTATAAGGAACTGATTCAAAAATCGGTAAAACTGTAAGGACTCACATATTAATTTTCCTTATAATCTTTAACAATATCTGGGCTATTATCTCTCATGTACTTTCAGCCAAAAAAAAATCTCTCGTGTATATGATTTTTTTTAATTGAAAAGTTGTTTAGGGCATTAGATTTGAGCATGATTTTTGCCTTTTTTTTTAAAAAAAAAAAACTCGGCTTACGGTTGTAGCATGCTAGCTATTTGGGATTTATGGCCAGTCATAGGAAAATAATAATTTAAGGCTAAAGTATACATCTAGTCCTTTAATTTTATGTAAGGTTTCAGTTTATTCCCTTAACTTTAAAAAGTATACTTTTAGTCTTTTAATCCTAAAATTATTAGTCTTAAATGATGATTTTTCATAACAATCATGGTTGTTTTAAATATTAAACTTAATATGTTAACATTTAGTAATGTTTAATCAGCATTCAAGAGTTCAATATCATGATTTTTTATTAACAGTTTTAGGATTAGAGAATTAAAAATTTAGTTTTTAAAGTTAAGGGACCAAAATGAAATCTTATATAAAGTTAAAAGATTAAAAGTATACTTTAGCCATAATTTAATTAGAAATGTGTCAGAGGATCTTCATTTGGCTCATTCTTGGTTAGATATTGGTTTGAATTTGAACTTTGGCCAAATGTGATGTACAGTTTCGAAAATGAAATTTGGCATCCAAAAAAAAAAACAATGAAGTTTTTCTATTGAAAGCTTAATAATAATCCAATTTAGACAAGCAACATTGTTTATACGTATAGGTTTGTTCTGTATTTTATCTAGAAACCTAATCCAATAATAATCAAACTCCCTCTTACTCCAAACTTGTCTTTCCTACAACCATAAGGTTACCATCAGTTCTGTTAGGCATTGTCTTATACTCCTAGTTTGTTATAATTTTAGTATTCTTAGAGTTTAATCGGATTTAAGAGATTACTTTTTTTTTTTGGGCCTCATAAGAGATAGCTTTTTTATGTGCCAGAAATTAAATCAATTACCCTTAGGTTCTTTCAGAATCTGTTCAGGATGGATGGAGCATGATAAGTAGATTCATTGGATGAACTAACATGTTGTTCTTTCAAAGTCAGTGGCAACGTGTGAGCACTTTTGTCATTGGGTTTCAGAAGCAAGCTTTTGAGTAGCCTTTTAGAGCCAGAGATGGGAACAGAACTCTACTCATTCTTATTCCCAAAGAAGAACACCCAAAAAGTATAAATGATTTCAAACCCATTAGACTTTGTAACATGTTTTACAAGATGATCACTTAATGCTCCCAAATAGAATTAAATGATTTCTTCCACATGTCATTGCCCCTAATCAGTGTAGCTTTGTGCTTGGGAGAGTTAGCTCAGATAACATAATAGTGGCTCAAGAGGTAGTTCACTCTACAAGAAATATGAAGGGAAAGAAAAGGGTTTATGGCAATTAAGATCGATATTGAAAAAGCTTATGATAGACTCAGATAAGACTTTGTTAATTATTTCATGTCTCCAAAAGTTTTATTTGCCTGCCAATATGATTAAGCTCATTAATGCTTACCTCTCCACACCTATAATGCAGATTCTTTGGGAGGGTAATAAGATGGAAGCTTTCACCTCGTCTAGGGTGGCTAAGAAAGAGTGATCCTCTATCACCTTATTTGTTTGTCATTTGCATTAATAAATTTGCTCACTCGATATAAGAGGAGATTCATAATAGCAATTAGAGACCTATTAAACTAAATAAGAATGGACCTTCTATGTCATACTTGTTGTTTGCAAATGATTTAATTCTCTTTGTAGAATTTGCTACTAACTAGATTATTGTAAGTTTTATGTTAATTCTAGATAGAAAGTGAGCCAGTCCAAAACTTGTATTTTTTTTCTCTAATAATATCAATTATAATTGGTCATATCAACCTTATTAAGGGAATGATCAACCTTATGGTGTCTTCATGACTAAGGTTGTAAGAGATAAGTTCTCTTAAGGTCCTACCTAGATCATTTGTTCGGTTTCTTGTATTTGGGGTTACAAGAGGCAAGTTTTCTTGGGGTCTCCATCCATTCGTTACTTGATTCTAGCCAATCCGTAGGTCTCTAATATCAACTAGCCATGGAAAGCATTGCAAGCTTGCACCCAATGTCCCAACCCACACAAGAGAAACATTTGTCTACTGCACTTGATTTGGGTACATAAAGATAGTGGGTTTGTTGAAGGCATTAGGATTTGTTGGTTCTAATAATAAAGGAGAGGCGGCTTGGAGGAAGATGAAAATTTGACTTCTTTGGCGATAGAGGGAGGCTAGAAGAGGCACCACAAATGGGTTGTCAAAAGAAATTGCATTAGTGATATCACAAGATTTTAATTCCTGAATCGGAGGGGAGAAACCAAATTTTTGCACCAGAATAAATAAAACAAGTTAGGGGGGGGTCAGATTTCCATTTCAGCAGCCCTAACACTTGGATAATTTTTGGTCAAAAATTTTCCTAGTCATTATTTTAACAATCTTAAATTTTGGTTAGGATTGAATGAGATTGCACCAAAAAAATTAGTTCAGTATTGAAATTGCACCATAAAAAGTTTTAGAACACTAGATGTACCTGAAAAAATATTTCAAAATGTTAAATGCTCCTTACCTCATGTTTTTTATTAGAAGTACTTTATGCGATTATTTTCAATCCTTTTTTTTCCAGTTGTAAGCAATATATTTCTAGTCATTTGTAAGAGTTCTCAGCACAGAAGTCATTTGTACTTAATTAAAAATATGTTGATATAATTGAAAAAGGGTTCTACTCGCTAAAAATGATCACACCCTCTCATGTTGATGATATCAGATTTGAAGATAAGAAAACAAAGCATAAATTCAAATGTTTGAAATTAGATTTTATTGTTAAAAATTAATTTTATCAATAAAAATATTTCTTTGTCCTATCACACATTTAAGTTGTATTTTTTAAATTTATATTTTTAACAGTAATTGGTTCTGGTTTTTTTTTAAATGTATTGGTTCTTATTTCTATACTTTAATACATTTTAGTTTTGATCCCTGTACTTATTATCACTTTTAAACTCAAATCCAAATCCTTATAAATAGAGGCTAATGTTTTGATGGGAAAAAATATAGGGACTAAAATAAAAATTTAATCAAGTTGCAAGGGCTATCAATAATATAAACCTTTTTAATATATCTTTTTTCTTCGCTATCTCATTCGGCCATTCTGTTTCTTTCGATTAAACGCAGATCCAGTCTCTTTCCCCCGTCTAGCCGTCTTGTTTCGTCGAGCCCATCCCTCACTCCCTCTTAGCTCTTGTTCCCACACTGAGTTTCTCGTGGTCGTGACTCGTACGTTGTCGTCGACGCTTGTGGTTGTGATTCGTGGGTCCTCGTGAATCTGCTTGGGGTTGCGGCTTCTCGTCGAGCTGCTTGTGGAGTTGTTGTCGTGGGTCCTTGTCGAGCTGCAGGAACCGCTTCGTCTCCATCCTCTTTGGTGAGGTAGGATTCCTGTTCCTCTTCATTCACCCCTTCTCGTTCTCGAGGTGAAGCAACTGAGGGAGTGGAATTTCTGTGACCTTAAAATTTTTCGATGTTTGGGAATAGAGTGCATTAAATGGTTCCTGGCTTTTTGCTGTTCAATTTTTATTTGGCAACAGAGGGCGTGAAATAGTACTACTGCATGCTTATTATTGGATTCAGGTTCTGGCTTGTTATTGTTCATCGTTACCTGGCTTTAATTTATTTTTTTGGAATTGTGCTTGGTTTTACAATTACAAGCCCCTGGAAGAAATTGTTGAGATATGCGATGAAGGTGGTGGGATGAGAAGCTACTGTTAAAATTGCTTTATTGCTTTATATCATCTAATGGTATTTGCATTCTATTGCGTGATGTACATTCACAGGTCACAATTCAGGAGCTCTACATGATTTAAATGGCACATACAAAGTCCTTTTAAGGAATATTTTTTTCCCTTCTACATCATGCATGATGCAGTTTTTCTTCTGATCTGTGGATTGAAGTCTCCCAAAACAATAGCTTTGTTGCCACCCAGTCATGGTTCGAGGCCAAACCGGACTGGACCTGTCCTCAGACAAAAAAGTTGATCCCGGTTATCTTTTAGACCAAATTTTAGATTGATGCTTAGCCTGGTCGAGTCTGGTCTTTGTGCAGCCCTATTTGGTGGACCAAGTCTGGTCAAGCTCCACCTTGGGTTGCTACTAGACTAGATTGGACCACAGATTGCCTAACCTAGCCCGTCTATGAAACAGACTAGACTTCAGGATAGACTCTAGTTCGGTCTGGTCGCTCTATCCATTGTGCGGCCCTACTTTGGGTTAGGCTCTGATCTAGTCCAGATTGTGTTGGGCAGCCCTAATAAGCAATGTCTATCTTGTCCTTATTATCATTATTAAACAATGTCATGCTTTTTTCATTACTCATTTAAAATGATGGTTACTGACAATTTTTTTTTTCCTATTCAATTTTCATTCTTTTACTTGATGTGTACCAAATGACCCGTGAGTGAACAAGACAGGGACAAGTGGTAAAAAACTCACCCTATTATTCTTCATTGCTATCCTTAGCTTTTAGGGCACTAAAATTAGTGAATTTTATGTCATTAGTTAATTGCTTGTGTTGGTAATAATTTTTGTTTTGTTCCAAAATCTATTATAGGAACTGCAATTTTGAGGTCAATTTCATAGTAGATATGGAGGAATATGATGATTATGTGGAGTATGTGCCTGTGGCTAAGCGTAGGGCCATGGAGGCTCAGAAGATTCTTCAGCGAAAAGGAAAATCCTCCGCCACAGTTGATGATGATTTAGAGAAATCAAGAGTGGCTGAAGCTAAACCGAGTCTTTTGGTTAAGGTTTCACAGTTGAAACGGGATCAACCTGAGATTAGTCCAACAGAGCAGCTTGTCCAGCAAGAAAAAGAAATGATCGAGAACTTGTCAGATCGAAAAACTCTGATGTCTGTTCGGGAATTGGCGAAGGGAATCACCTATACAGATCCTTTGCCTACTGGATGGAAACCACCTTTGCCAATTAGAAGGATGTCTAAAAATTTATGCGATTTGATTCGGAAGCAGTGGCATATAATAGTTGATGGTGAAGCCATCCCACCCCCAATTAAGAATTTCAAGGATATGAGGTTTCCTGAGCCTATTTTGAAGAAGTTGAAAGCAAAAGGTATTGTTCAACCAACGCCTATCCAAGTACAAGGCCTTCCTGTGATCTTATCCGGGAGGGATATGATTGGAATTGCATTCACAGGATCAGGGAAAACTCTAGTCTTTGTGTTGCCAATGATTATGGTGGCACTGCAAGAGGAAATTATGATGCCTATTGTTCCAGGAGAAGGTCCGTTTGGTCTGATTATTTGCCCATCAAGGGAACTAGCTAGACAGACTTATGAAGTAGTTGAACAGTTCTTGATACCTCTGAGAGAAGCTGGATATCCTGAGCTTAGGCCGTTGCTTTGTATTGGTGGGGTAGATATGAGGTCACAGCTAGAAGTTGTGAAGAAGGGTGTTCACATTGTTGTTGCCACCCCTGGGAGGTTAAAGGATATGTTAGCAAAGAAAAAAATGAATCTTGATAATTGCAGGTATTTAACATTAGATGAGGCTGATAGATTGGTAGATTTGGGATTTGAAGATGACATTAGAGAAGTGTTTGATCACTTCAAAGCTCAGAGGCAGACGCTCTTATTTTCTGCCACTATGCCGACCAAAATTCAGAATTTTGCTAGAAGTGCTCTAGTGAAACCGGTCATTGTCAATGTGGGGCGAGCAGGGGCAGCAAATCTTGACGTAATCCAGGAGGTAGAGTATGTTAAGCAAGAGGCAAAAATAGTGTATCTCCTTGAGTGCCTGCAAAAAACCCCACCTCCAGTTTTAATATTCTGTGAGAATAAGGCTGATGTGGATGACATTCATGAATATCTTCTCTTGAAAGGAGTGGAAGCGGTGGCTATTCATGGAGGCAAAGATCAGGAAGAGAGAGAGTATGCAATTGCAGCCTTTAAGTCTGGAAAGAAAGACGTGTTGGTTGCAACTGATGTTGCGTCCAAAGGATTGGATTTTCCTGATATTCAGCATGTTATTAACTATGACATGCCTGCTGAAATTGAAAACTATGTTCATAGGATTGGACGAACTGGACGATGTGGCAAGACTGGCATAGCAACAACGTTCATTAACAAGAATCAAACTGAGACAACCTTGCTTGACTTGAAACATCTGCTGCAAGAAGCTAAACAGCGCATTCCCCCAGTTTTAGCAGAGCTTAATGATCCAATGGAAGATAACGAGGAAATCACAGATAAAAGTGGGGTCAAGGGCTGTGCGTATTGTGGTGGGCTTGGTCATCGCATTCGGGACTGCCCCAAATTGGAACATCAGAAGAGCATGGCAATTGCAAATAATAGAAGGGATTATTTTGGTTCTGGTGGATACAGAGGAGAAATATGAAAAGCACCGCTTCATCGTGTATCAGTTTATGTATTGGAACTGCAACATGATTTTTGTCGGATGAAATTTTATCAACTGTATTTCATATCTTAAATGTCCATTGTTGTGCTTCATTCATCTGGACTGATTGTCATTTGTTCATGCGGTCTTGAAAGATTCACCCTATAATGACTTCCTGTTGCTGCACTTATTTTTATTCCCATGTAGGTAAATGGTCTCAGTTGGCTCGTTGCAATTGTATGGTACTTTCTATAACCTCTTCCCCTGCTACTATACTCATTATCTGACTTTAAATTCAATATTTGTTAACTTTATCTATATTTAATATATATAACTTCATACAAAAAATATATATTAAATATAGATGAAGTTTTAAAAAAAAAACTTCATAAGAAAATAACAATCTATAAAATAATAGGTCAAAAGGGGAATACTTTTTGAAAAGTAGTTTACTTTATGTGGTTAATGAAGTCTATTGTTAGCCGAAAAGTGGTACTTACATATCTTGATTTTATCCAATACAGAGCTAAAAACAACTTTTTAAAAATAAGTTTTATATGGCCAATGATTCAGAAATGTTATGACTTTTTATAGAATTATATTATGTATATGTTTTTTATACACTTGCGTATCTGAGTGGAGATGATTTGAGCATTGTTGAGCCTAAAGTGTGGCTGATCTCTCAAAAACGATTTCTGCATTCACACAAAGTAGAACTCAATAGCTTGTGCTGAGTTTGAGGTGTTTCTTTTTCCTCTAGAAACAGGAGTTTACACTGATAAAATATTGTACGGTTGATGGTTATTATTGCGTGTCGCAGTTCTCAAGGGGATTCTGATGGTTTATCTCTGGGAAAGAAACCTGAAGAAATGGATCAATTAGTAAAACACTAAAACCTCATATTTATGATCACTTTACTGTTTGATTTTCCAGCCATACAAGTCATTACGATGGAATATCCTTTATGCGGGTAGACAATCTCTGGAAAGCACATATGAGGCATCAACAGGCACCTGAAGTTGTAAATAAGAATATTATATCACATTTTGTTCTTCGGCTTGTGCGTTGCCGAACGTAAGACTTGATTGACTCGAATTGGGCATTCTCAGTAATTGAATTTTATTGTCTATGATAGGAGACTTGAAACTATTACCGCTCTGTAAAAAGTATACTTCTCTAATTTTATTTATAAGTCATTTTTAACATATTTTACATAAATAAAAAAAAACTTAAATTTTATTAACTCTCATTTAAAATTTAACAACTTTTCAACTTTATTCTTATTTAATGTACATTATTTCTCATACAAACAAAATTAACACAATAATAAATGAATAGTAAAATTGTACATTATACAAAAAATTTCTTTCAGTACTCTATAAATAGGATCAAAAAATATTTTCTCTCTCTTTTATAAGTAGTACCAGAGAAGTATATTTAGTTCTTTAACTTTGTATAATGTTTCACTTTGGCTCCTTAACTTTAAAAGTTACATTTTTGGCCCTTTAACCCTAGAAAGGTGAGGCTTAAATGATTTTTTTTTATAGAACAATCATGATTATTTTGAAAATTAAACTTAATATGTTAGCATTTGAGAATATTGAACATTTAAGATTTTAACATCATTTTTTTTTAACAATTTTGGGCTTAAAAGTCTAAAACTATATTCTTTGAAGTTACCCCTCTGATCTTATTTATAAGGCACTTCTAACAGGTTTTACATAAACTAAGAAAAACTTTAAACTGCGTTAACTCTTCATTAAAATAGAAAAACTTTTCTACTTTACTCCTATTTAATATATACACATTTAAAAAAATAACTATCTATACTATAATAAATGAAAGACAATATAGTATATTCATAGTAAAAATTTAATAAAGTGACTTATAAATAGGATAAAAAAATCTTTTCTTTCTTCCCCGTAAATAAAACTAGAAAAGTAAGGGACTAAAATAAAAGTCACCTCTCACATTTTCAACACATGCACTGGCATCGGATGTCACAATTGAAACGGTAAGAGAGAAACAGTCTCATAATTAATGCCACCCGATTGTCATACCAGGGAACGCATATTCTCACATTGTCAGCCTCTGAGAAGTTCCGGAGCTTGTGACTGGTCGGAAAGTATTAATTTAAATCAAGGTATAAATTCCTCCTACCATTGGCAATTCGATCAAGGGCTAATGGTAGGAAGAAACTTTAACTTTCTATATTTCTCTTCTTCCTTCATAGGTTGTCTCATTGGCAACCACACTATTCTGCAGTGACTTATCCAAGGCACTCATGCTCAGCAACAGGTTTGATTGGCCATTCATAGTTAACCTTTTCTCTGCAGCCAAGAGAGTATGATCAGATATCATTAAAGGGCATTGATCAAATTGCTAAGAGCTGATTTCCATTGTGCACGCGTCACCTATTCGAAAAGTTTAGACTTGGCTTAAAAAAATCATGCTACCTCTTTACATGTTTATAATTTCTTGATTCTTTTTGTTTCCCCTACTTCTGGGTAGGAGGAATTTTTGTGATTGGAAGGAAACATAGCAAAAGCTGTGCTTTCTAATTTTCTGTTCTTTAGAAGAGATATAAGTAAAGAAGCATGTAGTTCTTTGTTTAAAAAATTGAAATGCTCTCTTCGGTCCTTAATCTAAAAATTAGATAAATAATTAGTTAATATTAAAAAAATTAGTTAAGTTAGTTATTTATAACAAATGTGTGTTGATTTTCTTAGAATAATTTTTCTAATTATGTGCATTGTGATAACTACCTTTTAATGGAAACATCTTTACTATGTATAATCAATAAGGATACTTTGAGAAAAAATTATTAATTTAAAAGATAAAATTGATTGAGGTCTTATATTTATAATCAAAATCAATACTTTTTTTAGCTTTTATCTTTAGAACCCCAGGTAGTAATTACTATTTGCACATTGACCGGTGATGTCAGGGTCTGATGCCTTTCTCCCCTTTGATGATGTTTGATGGTGAGATCATATGGTTTCTCAATATTGGTGCTTGTATGTGATAACTTCAAAGATAGAATTTGGAGATTCCTCCCAAAAATTGAATGTGTTATGGTTGAACATATTAGGTTAGCAATGGAAAAATTAGTAAGATAATTTCTCAATTCATGTACCACCCAATTATGTGCCATTTTTCCTTTTTGTCTTTATATTTTCCTCATATTTTCTTTTCCTCAAATGATACATGAATTCTCTGAAAAGGTAATTATGATGCTTGTACTTGCACTTCCACATGTTGTAGGTTGCGCTGGAGAGGTTTGAGAAAGTATGCATACAGAATACGCCATAATTATGTAAAGGAAGGGGACTGTAAGTTGCGAACTCATTGGCTTTTGATACTTGTACATAACTAGTGAGACCAGCATTCATGTGGGCACATGGACACATCCAAATATCTACGCGAAACATGCCTCTAGCAAACAATATAGATTGGCTCCAATATGAGTTGAGTCTGATGAAATTAGTTAGCCTCTCGCAACATAGTAAATCAAAAGATTCAAATTTCTGTTGGGAGAGGTGCTCACATTTAGTATCCGTCAATACTCTAAATAGGAGTAGTTCTAATAGGAAGATATCTATACGTAGTAAAAATAAATATATAAGTTCTGGCTATCATGCTATCTGTTTAAACCAATTTTTTCAAGGCTAGGCCTTGAAGTTGAAAAAAAAAATTTATGCAAAAGGACTCGGGCATAAAAAGAATTCTCAAATGGCTGCTTTTGAAGGGTCAAATGTCAACACCTCAACCAATAAATATTGGATTGAGTAGAAGAGGCTTAAGTTATGGTAAATGAATGTTTGATTTTCATTACAAGAGATACTCATATTTAATTCCCAACACTACATTGAACCTGATTGTTTTTTATTTCCTATGAATGCCCTTTGCATCAACAATGTAACTCTCCTTGTCATGCGGATCATTTTGACATGTTGATTATGTGCTTGAGATTGTTATATTTAGGCGAATTGTTATTTGAAACTCATCTAAAATTTTTAACTTTTTAGTCTAAATTTAAAAAATTATAACCTGTTTTAAAAAAAATCATATTATAAAATTCTTTTGAGAGATCTTATAATCCTTTACAGGGTAAAAATATAATATGGATCTTGAGTCATGCCAATCAATACAATTTCTTACTTTTCTCAACTTGTTTTGTCTTTCAGACATAAATTATAAATTAAATTCAAAATCCATCGCTCATGTTTCATTCACCTCGTTTGTAATTATTACCCTTAAATTACTTTTCAATGATAAATCTTGGCCATCCATTTTAATCTTTCATCCTGGACCTTTGAGATCAATTTTAAACTACCTCTTTCGGCTTGGATATGACACAATTTACTAATTTTGCTATCACACATCTTTAACCATGATTACTTTTGGCTAACTATAGTTACTTTTCTTTAGCCTTAGTTTTACTAACTATAATTATTTTTACTTAATTATGGTTACATCTCTCCAAAAATGGTTAGTTTTACTACCCGTAATTGTGCTTTAACTTTAGTTAACTCAACCTTAATTACCCTATCAAGGTTAATCTCCTTTCATCCACAGTAAATTTTCTAATTAAAATAAATAATTCCTTAACCATAAATACTTTAGAATTTAATTATGATAATTTTTCTCCCTCTTTCTTCATTGTGAGTAGCATGATATTGGGCCGTATTGGGCCTACTATTATGCTCTCTCCTTTTTTTCTTTTTTTTTTTTATTAAAGTATAGATATCCTCTTATTAAAGACAATCCAATTCGAGTCACTGTCGGGCACTAAATGTGAGCACCTCTCCTAGCAGGAATTCGAATCTTAGTTCATCACATTATGAGGGACTAATCCCTTCTGCTAAACTCAACTTTCTCGGGTTGGTTACTATTATGCTCTCAATTTAACTAGAATTCAGACATCAACTTGCTGGGCCGCCGAGTTATATTACCTTGTAGGCCTTATTAAACTTTTGATCAAACAATCTTTCTATTATTTTTCTTGTGCCATTTTGACCTTTAATAACTTAAAAACCCATCATTTTCTTATTTTCCCTAAATTTTTGAGTAATTACTCTTAAGACCTGAGCTTTCAAAAATTATACTTTTAACCACATCATAGCTTGCCATTCATGTAATCCTCTTTAATGTCTCTTGAAGATCCTAAAATAACTTATAAACCCTTTAATTTCCAACTCTTCTGGATAACTTTCAAGTTTTAAGTACTATTGT